GAAATTGAGTCAAAAGTCACTATTTTTGAATTTTGCACGTTTTTCAGTGAAAAACTCAATTATTTCGTTAAATTTCCTTAAAAATAAGTCGAAAAATCAGTAGCTAAAAGAGATTTTGTTTAGAAAATCGCTGAATTGGTCGAAAATGACATTATTTTTACCATTTCCAAGTGTTTTTGTATATTTTTTAGCTAAAAATGCAGTTATTTCGTAAACTTTTGTTAAAATAAGATACAAAAAAATAAAGCAATGTTTAGCTTTTGTGACATTTTTTAAATTTTTTCTAAAAATTTTGTTAAATTACCTGAAAATTTTCCAAATTTAGTTCATTTTTGAACAAAAGACTCATTTATTTTGGCATATATTATCAAAAGATGCTTCAAAATCACAAAAACAAATCGAAATTAGTCGAAAATAGTGTTATTCTTACTTTTTTTCAAGCATTTTTTCAAATAAAATTGCAGATTTCTCTAGCTAAAAAATTACCAAATTTGATCAAATTATCAAATCAATTGAACTTGTTTTAATCGATTTAACAAGTTTTTGAGCAAAAATAGCAAAAATAAAACTTTCAAGCATGTTTTTTAATTAAATTTCAGGTTAAAAAAATTTTTCTAAACCAAAGCAAAAAATCCCCACAGTGAGTCGAAAAAATTATATAATTTGGGGGAAAAATACCTGGACGCAAACATCTAAAGCTTCGAGTAAATCTAAGGCCCCTAAAGCGTCGCATTGGTTGAAGCTGGCTTGGAAATCCTCGGTGGTGTAGACGCCGGTGACGCGCGCATGGAGGAGAAAATCGCCCGAGAAGAGCTCCCCCAGGAGGCGCCCCCCGAGCCACGGGACCGACACCACGACCAGATCCCGAATGCAGAAGACCTCCCCCATGGAGTGCAACTGCTGGAGCAACTCCTGGATGTGGTGGTCGGAGGCGAGGATGTTGACTTGGCTTCGCAACAATTCGGAAAATGTGGAACGAGATAAGACGGGAAATTGCGAGTAGTCTTTCTGGATTGAGGTGAGCCAGGTTAGGGTTGATTCCAGAAGGCCGGTCCAGGTCCCCACCGTTTGCTAAAAAATCAAAATCACCAAAAAAAATTTTTTTTGATTTTTTTTTTATTAAAGTGCGCTAGTGTTTGTGCCCAAAGAAAACAAAAAATCACCTTTGAAACTCGGGGCGTTATTAAATTGTATCCCTTTTTAATAGTTAAATAATCCTGTGGGAAAAATTAGTAATTGTAGAAAAGAAAATAAAAGGAATAGAGTCAGAGGGGCCGTTAACTCTGCAATTAGTTGTACAAATTTCAGGAATTTAATCGTAATTGCATGGAATTATTTGGAATTATTAAAATTATCTTTGGCTTGTTTGGCATTATTTGTGTAATGAAATTTTTGTAGAATCACTAATTTTTTTTAGAATTATCAGATATAAACTAACGGAATTTAGAATATTAAGAAAATTAATCTGAAAACGATAGAATTTCAATGGATTAATAAAATTACTGAAAATGAATTTTGATGAAATTTTTCTCGAATTACTGACATTTTTTTGAAATTAATTAATCAAGTTGAAATTACAAAAAATTATTTGGAATTATATGAATTAATCTGATAACAGTGGAATACAATGGATTAACATAGAATTACTGGAGTGAAATTTTTCTGGAATTACTAAACATTTTTTTTGAATTGTTATAGTTGGAATTTGGGAAATTATAAGTTGGAATTAAGTGAGAATTACAATAATTTACTTGGAATTAAGTAAGAATTACAAGAATTTATTTGAAATTAAAAGAATTAATCTGAAAACAATGGAATTACGGTGAATTAATAATTAAATTTCGGTAGAATTCTTTCGAATTACTTACCGGAATTATTTGTAGATTACTAAAAATTTTCTAGAATTACTAGATTTTTTGGAATTGTAGGATTATTCTTTAAAAAAATGCATTATTTTTTTTAACTATAGAAATTAATTTGGAATTATATTAATTGAGAATTATAAAGATTAATCTAAAAACAATAAAATTTTGCTGGAATTTTTCTGGAATTACTAAACATTTTTTTGTAATTATTATAGTTGAAATTT